TCAGTGAAGGACAAGAACGCGTCATTGTTTGCCGTTGAGACTGCCATGACAGATGCTGTTATGCATTTCAACTTAGGGAACAAGGAATCTAGTTCGCTTATTTTGCGTGAACTGCAGCTAGATCAAACATGCACAGGCAACCAGCGGGCGGTTGAGAAAGACTATCGCTGTGCCGTCGGCTCGGAGAGGAAACGTGCATCTTCAGCGGCGTTCCAGACAGTTGCAAAGAAGGAGAACAAGCAAAAGCCTGCTTCAGACTACTCCGCAGGGCCTTTCTGAGTGATTGTGAATACAAGTGCTGTGGCTTTCATGCATGAAATTTTCATTTTCAGAACTATTTCAGTTTTTTGGGGTTTTCTCAAATACAGATTTTTGCATGTTTTGACTGTTTTGACACAGTGGGATAAGCACTGTGTCGCTAATACTGATTCGATTTTCTTGATCATTTTTTGTTTAATTGCTAGGGTATTAAAGTGTGCAAAAAAACCTCGATAAAATGTTTAAGGACATTGTAAAATTTTGAAATTTTCCAGAAATCACCAGTGAAAATTCAGAGCTAAGAGACTGCGACATAAAAAACTTCATAACTTTGGGTGAAATTTAGATACTAGTATGAAATTGCATATTGGCACTATTTGAATATTCAGCAATGTACAGGTTCAATTATAGCTCTTTTGATGCATTACTTTTTATGCAAGTCACATCCCAAATTCATAAAATAAGAATAGTTGTAACTTTTTTTGGATTGATGTAAAGAAAATGTAATTACATACCGTATTTACACGATTGTAAGACGACTCGAATGTAAGACGACCCCCCCAAAATCGCATCTCAAAAAAAAAAAAAAAAAAAAAACTCGCGTAGGCCGCAAGCTTCGCCTCTAGTTCCGGAAAGCGGCCAGACTTCGGCCCGCGAAAGCCACGGTGCTTGGAGTCGCACGAGAAAATTTCCTCGCGCTGAAGCCGCCACTTCCGCACCACACATTCACCGATTCCGAACTTTCGTCCTCATGTCACGGCACTCATGTCAGACAGAAGTGACTCGAGAGAGCCGGTCGTGGACACAAGCGACAGGAGCACGCCCGCTTAGAAAATTGTATCACAAAGAGGAGCTCTTCCGTCAACTACCAATACCCCCCTACGGCGGCTCTTCCATCGATCACCGGTGCTCCCTCAAGAGCCGTGCGCTCGTCATAAAGGCACTCGTAATGCGCGCAGTAGATGCTAAAAAAAGAAAAGCTTTTGTATAAGCACGCGGAAAACTATGCGCTTTGGGTTGAGCGGGAAACTATTCGAGATGACAATACATCATGGTTCGATTTCGATTCTAAGACGACCCCCCAACATTGGATTGTCAAATTTGAAAAAAAGGGTCGTCTTACAATCGTGTAAATACTTTTCAGTGTAAAAAGCTGAATATTTCCTGAAAAAATCATGTCTCTAGGCCTAATGCTAATATATATCACTATCGGGTCCCATGTCCCCCATCAAATTTATTTTTGGTCATTTAATTTGTCGGGATTATATCAAATTATCTGGAATAGCTAGAGCTGTAATGAACCCTCTTTTAAAAGAGGTACTGATGCGATAATTTTCAGTTGTCATATTTTTTTCTTCTTCAAATAAAAGGCCAAGCCCTCAGGAGCCAGGAAAAGGTACTGGTAAAAGTGAGTTCACCGTGAAAAAGTAATCGCGGTATGTTTATAAAAGCTAGTTGTAGTTTCTACTGTAACCTGATGTCACAGCACTGTATGAGCTCCTCATCACATGCTCACGTAAGGTGTCGTGACATTGGCATAGCCACTCCTCTGCATTAGTGGTGCCCAAGCCTCCATTTTCGAGGTTTTCAGTGATCCCAATGGGCCATTTTGAATGTTTAGTGCTTGAAATCATCACAACTAAAGACATTCTCTTGGCATTGTATTATGCATTCATCTGTAGTCATTGAAATCGTGTCAGTTCCTGGGGTCTCGCGTGTCACTGTCATTGAGCCCGATTAAAGCACATCCAAAATAATGCTTTTCTATCATTATACCTGCTTCTTATGATGGTCAGGTTGCCCCCATTTTTAATCCACACAAGAAGGACACTCATCTGGTATAACTAATGCCTCATTATATATCACCTACTTGTAAGTCCATCATTACTTTTTGTCATTGATAGAAATAGTGTGGTTAATCCTAGGAGTGCTCGGTTCTTTTTACAAAATGAGTTCTCGTTTCCAAGTCACGTACTAATTACAAGAAACAAACTGTTGATTTTGCCAGTTTGAAAATGTGGAGTAACTTACTGGTTCAAGTAAAATCTTCAACATTATTGCTGAATCAGCATTCACTAAGAGCTTATATAATTGTGCTTTTCTCTCATTGTACTTTTTTCTGTCTGTTAAAGTGTGGACTAAACATTGCATAAATTGTACTATGACTATTTTGTATGTTTTTTAACTGTAATTGATGCTCCTTTAGCTATGTAATATTGCCATACCTGCCAAGTCTCCCGGATTGGCCGGGATACTCCCGGATTTTGCCCGTTTCTTCCGTTTGTACGATTGTCATGAAAATCTCCAGGAAATCAAAATTTCTGTGCATAATCTGGCCACAATGACAAAAAAGCAGTTCGTTATGCTCCAGGCTTTTCGAACCTACCCCGTTTTGTTATAAATGAGTTTAAGAGGCATTTATCTAAACCGTACAGTAGAAACCGCGGCAGATACAAATTCGTGAAATTCCCCAGCCAAATTTTACTGGAATGTTCCAAACACATTTCCTAATTGGGGCGGGTGATACAAACTTTAGTACGCGAACCGTTGAGCAGCGTGCACGAAGCTTCAGAAGTACGCATGCGACCGGTGCACGCACTGTTTTCTACATCGCGTGTGATTGTCGTTGCCACAACCGCTGTGGGCAAAACCGCGTTCCTTGACACGATATGGCGACAACGTAACTGACAAACCCCGAAAGAGTGCGCTCAACCAGTCAAAGCAACATGGCTTTCCACAAGCTATGGCTTTCCACAAGCTCTGCGGGCAAAGCTGCGGTAGCTGCGATCGTAGATGGCATAAAGTGACTTAGTTTTGAAAGCGCGTGCGCAGACAAGCGCACGAGGAGTTTGTTAAAGGAACTACCGTTTTCTGCTACCGCCGCACACAAAACCATGGTCACGGCAACGTGGTAGCGATCTACGACCTCCGAAGGCATGCAGCTGTAGATTAAAGGCAGTGAATACGTTTAAAAAAAAGTCAGTTTCGCCGCAAGGGCAAAGCAATGAATGCGACAGCAACAGCTTGAAATGTCACGCTGAAAACGGCAAGCCGATCAAAACGTGCAGCGCGCTGCTCAGGAAAAATTGACGCACAAAAACTATACACAAAACTAACGTTTACTGCTCTACTTGTAACGGGCTGTTTAAACAAAAATGATGCAGGATACATAATCACAGGCACAGATGAGTGCAAACTAACAAGTGTCCCAGTTATACCTCGCTGTGCACGAAAAGTGCGGCGCTCTTTTTGCAAAGGGGGCCTGTGCATAGACCGAAGTGACCTTTGTTGGCCCGGCAACTAACGCAATTGATCCAGTGAAAGCCGAAGACACACGATTCTCCCCACCAAAGGCATCTAACACTATCCCCCCCCCCCCCCCCCCCCAACCGCAGGCCAAAGTACGCGTGAAAGAGATAAGCGCGCCGAGCAGGGCGCCGAGCGCAGGTGGCTTTTTTTTATTTGTTGAGTGTTCATATATATAAATGCGTATACATATATGGTGAATGACGGCGGCGACGGCAAAAAACCAGCCTAGGCTGTTCATATACATGATTGCTATCACAATGAAAAGGGGCCAGACGCGTTTCGGCATTGCGTCAAAAGAATCTAGTAGTGAGCAAAGCTTTGACCCGCACTTTTGCGGAAGCCAGCTGCGCCGTCAGGTTCATTCACACGTGTCTCAGGAAGATATACGAGAGTTGTTCTGACAGAAATAGATTCTGTTAGTTGTGTTGATCTCTTCAGACCTTAGTGGGAAACCCTACCCTTGTGTGTTTGGCCACTCCAAGCTACTAGAAGACCACAAAGCTCATGTTGTTGCTTGCAATTGAGACCCTCTTGTTTTGTTTTTTTTGTGTGTGATGTTTTTGTTTGTTTTTATTTTTTTCGTGTCGAAAAAAAAAATAGAGGCAAATAATTCAGCGCATTACCCCCCCCCCCCAACGTCGCGGAAACCTCCCAGATTCAGAATCCTTGAACTTGGCAGGTATGTATTGCATAGCCATTAGCAAGAGATACCGCTGCAGTTTTGCAACTATAGAACCTCTTTCTGTATAATCTCTAATATATATTTTGTATAGTAGTATGAAAGATATCTTGCAACTAAAACTTGCTTTGCGGAGTGCCTCTAAAACTTGGCACTTTAATAGACACTGTGGTGACTATGCCATTTTCTTTCCAAGTGTGGTGCTTTGGGTTTAACCTTCAGCAACAGTGACTGCAATTTTGGTAATCACAAAAGGCCAAATCATTCAAAAAGCTCTTGCAGACTTGGATATAGGCTTGTTTCAACGAATTCCTAATGGTCAACATTTCTCGAACTCTTTGTGGAGCACTACAATCTAGTTATTTTTTCTTTTAACCCAGGGTGGTGCCATATTGTCAAATTCACCATCTTATTATAAAGTCTGCCCCGCAGGCAGCACCAGTACCATAGGGTAAGCAGAGTTGGGGAAAGGGCGTGCAGCCATCCCTGCAGTTTTAACCTCTCACTACTTCCACTGAAGTGCCAAAAAGCTATGGGCACCCTCACTTTTTGGAAGGACCTGTCTATTATAGTGGCGTCGTCTTCTTCCCCAAATTAGGGACAACAAGTCCTTGCTACTGACTCCAGGCTCTCTTACATGGTTTAAAATGCCACCATCGTAGAATTTGAAAGCGTGTTCGAAATAGCACCCCTTTCACTTCTTGAGAAGTATTGTTTGTGCACTAGTGACCCCCTTTTTGCTGGCTTACGGTAGGATGTGGACCGCAATGCCGGTATCCTCATGGAAATGGAGATGGAGCTGGAGACGGCACGCAGTCGGGCTTCCATGAGCAGCAGCTACAGGCAGCAGGTGGAGTCCCTCCAGAAGGAACTGGTGACGCTGGGCGAGATGTACAAGCGGCTGGAGGCAAGATTGCAGGCTAGCGAACCCCGGCCTCAGGCCGACTCGTTGCTGGCCATGTTTGAGGAGGCATCGCGCAGCGAAGTGGCCGGTAAGAGCTTCGATCGTTTACTTCTCTTGTGTCAGAGCAGTGTATTTGTAGATGCCTTCTTCAGTTTGGCTCAATGTTATAGAGGCCTCCTTGGTGGCCTTAGCACTTTCCTAGACAGCAAAGATTCTCTCAAGTCTCATATGTTTAGACGCAAAGACGTACAATTGCTGGAAGTTGTCAACTGTGCCGTTTTTCTCTATTTACCGCGCTACCTAAAGTACACTCGATTCCGAATATATCGAAGGAGATCGCGAAATAGTTTGATATATTGATAATTCCAAATACAAAATATGCATATTTAAGGCCTAAATTGAAGCATTTCAGGCCTCATAAATCGTTACAAGAGCTAACATAACGATTCGCTTACTGTATAATAAAAAAACAAGGTGAAAACTGCAAGTTACCACACTTTATTTTCCATGAAAATAGTCCGTAAACCAGTTATGCTTCTTGCACGCCGTGAAGTTCCAGTCATCCTCAATATCATTGAAGCTTTTCAAATAAGCAAACTTAGCTCCTTCGGCCACAGCGATGATTGATGCAGAACGCCAATGCAAACATTGTAGTGCAGCAATACGTTGGTGAGTGGCGGCAGCGAAGGCGTTGGCACATTCATGCTTGCACGGCTACACTTCCGCGGCACCGGCAGTGGCAGCCAAAATCTTAGCATCGATGCAGTCAGAAACGCTACGTCGTCATCTGCACCGATGAAGTCGCTCACTGTCCGACATGGTGCCCGGAAACACTGATAAGTCGCAGAATTAACTGAGGCACCATACTCCATTGTCAGCGGTCATGACACACCCGAAGTCGTCACCTGGCCCACAAGGAACATTTATGACAGTGTTTTACTTGTCATCGCTCCAAGCACCAGTCATAATTTTTATTGCTATGTGCGGGTTAACGCTCAGTTCAACTCCCGAATTAGGACGTATCAGGAATGAGGTGAGAAGTACACAAGACCACAAGGCACAAAAGACACATCACCGAGTTCGTCTGAGTTCCCAGCATCGAAATGTTGGCGATATCGCTAACGTTGTGGCTTTCTAGCTGGCAGCCGCTGCTTTCAGTGGTTTTGATGCGAAAAGAGAAAAAAAGGCATAGCCTCTGAGACACGCGTTTTAAAACCGGAAACACTAGAACACGTCACAAGGTTGCACATCTCGAAGGCCTTGTTTTCATGCTCGCATGCCATTGTGTACTAACAAACAAGGGAATGCGAACATTGCATGCGATCGCCGAGTCACATCGCATTCTCATTTCGGTGCCCTCGGCTGTCGATCTTTTGGAAAACACTATGCCCGCACGCTAAGACCTGCAGATCGAGCATAAGTACAGATGTACTTGCAAGTCCCGCACAACAAACCAGATCAGGGCGATGGAATAGTATCGTTCTTTCGTCGCCAACGCGTGAAAAAGAATGGAAACTTGTTTGAACGCGGCCTAAAATTGATCAATATTTGCTAGGAAAATTGCACTTTCTGGGCATTGGCGCGGCGCAGTGTTCAACATAGCGGATGTCCCATTGTGTGGGAGTTCGATATACGGGTGCACCGGTCCCATACCTTTGCGTGGGAAATTCAAGGGATTTCTCAGCTGTTCGATATAGTCAATAATTTGATATATCCGAGTTTGATATATCTGGGATCGACTGTATTAACCATCCTTGCTTAATAGTGCTCGTCCTGTCCACCATTCTGGCCCATTCTGATTGTAGGTTTGATTTCCAGCTGCAGTAGCCTCATTCTGGTGTTCGTCATTCTGATGGTGCTGTAATGCAAAACCACTTGTGAACTGTGCTTGGGTGCACATTTGAAGAGCCTCAGATGGGCAAAAATTTGTCTGGAGCCTCAGTTTCAGGGTTTTAAATCTCTCTAAGTATAACTAAGACAGTAGCCACGCTTCAAGGATGTATTATTATTTGCACCTTGATTATTATTTTTTTAAGTTTAATCGCATGTTATATGGTCTTATATGTGCTAAGTGTTCAATTTTAAGATGTGACATATTTTACTGCCTATATCTTGCACCTTACCCAAATCCTGCTGCTATTCAAGGTTGCTTCCTCTTTGCTTCAAACAAAAAAAAAATTTTGTTCTCATGAGCCTTGTTCTGACACTTAAAGAGATCATGACACTCAATTTTCAACCATAATCTGTGTTGTGGGGGCTGATTCTTGTACCTTCACAGACAAGCTGGCGAAATGTGAGTGATTTTGGTCGAGCCGTTAATTTATAATCGAATATTTTTTTTAACGAGCGAGCGGCTTGAGAGTTGGGCAACACTAGCACGCTCGCTAGCTGTGACGTTGCGAACTGCTTGCTGGGCCAGCTGCTGCATGGTCTGCATTCCGGAGGACGATCGTGTTTTGTGGTCAGCTGCGCGTGCAATTGAACTTTTTCTGGGTTGTTCAACTTGCCATTAGAACTAAATGACTTCCAGGGGTTGAAACAATGCCACTGCATCACCCATGTAGCGCTGGTATTTCCAGCAAGCAATTTCGGAGGCCAAAAGTGTCCTGTGAATGTGCAATGCATATGCCATTTGCTACTAGGGATACCGTATTTACTCGCATAATCCTCGCACTTTTTTTGCCGGAAATCTGATGCAAAGTTGGGGGGTGCGAGAATTACGCGGGGAAAACTTTCCACAAAAACGTACAGAGCGAAAAATAAAACGAAGTGGCCGCAAATCAGGGATTCTCGCACCAGCAACTTACAGCAAGCTTAAAAAAGTACTAATTAGCACTTACCTCAACAATAAAAGCAGAGGTTCAACGCAAGGCAAGATTTATTTGAGACACAAAAAGTGCAAGCAAATAGTCGAGAATTAGAATACCATACGCAAAGTTTGTGGGCATTGTGGGCATAACGGTAGCGTTCGTCGCTCAACAGGAGCCCTCAAAAGGTAAGCTTAGGACGTCAGTATTGGGCTGATGGCTATTTAACAGAATCGTCCGCAGTTTCCTTCTGAAGAAATAAAGTTTACCATCCATCCCAGTTTTAGGCCCATGGCAGGCCCAGCGCGTCTTGGTGGCTTTCCAGCTACCGTCACCAGTAGCGAACACAAAACTCTTAGACTCCGAAGGGCCTACTGGTCGCCCTGTTGCCATCGTTTAGTGCATGATCTATCACTTGCAACTTGAAGCAGCCGTGTAGCTTCAGTATCACCCCATAACGTGCCAAGATTACCAAGACAGCATACAAAACACGCCGCAACGCGCACTCGCCACTTCGGCTTGGCTTGGATTAGATTGAATCTTCGTGCAATAGTACACTTGATGCTTAAGAGATGGCGCCAGATGGCGCGCGCTATCATCATCAGTGGCTGGAACGAGCAGACGACATTATTGTGGCAGTTTTCGGGGGTGCGATAATTACTCGAGGAAAAAAAGAAATCATACTTTTCTTGGGCGATGTAGGGGGTGCGAGAATTATGCGAGTGCGAGGATTACGCGAGTAAGTACGGTAAATATTTATTGAAACTCATCGTAAGCAGTGTCATGGTTGAGCGTCACACTAGCTATTTTTTTACCGGTACCATATTGTCAGAATTGAAGCAAAAATTCTGCCAATATGTATATCGTGAGTAACCCTAGCGCCGCACTGACATGTTTTTCGCTTCGGCTTATGTTTACATATGCCGCACACAATAACTGATAGAAAAATAATGGTCTCAACGTGCAGCATTGCACGACCATTAATTTATCATGTTCAGCACCGAAAGCCCTGCATGCACGTATGCTAGCCAACAAAGATCTGCACAGTTTGCCAATTCTATGGCACTAAGTAACACTTGCTTGTGAGTGCAGCGTTGACGGACTCCCGTATACTAAGCTCGCTTCTCAACCTGACACACTTGAAATAAAGCTACTTATCATTGCTAAAAGCCGTCTGCCATAACATTGAGGTCGTTGGCATCTTAGTTCACACCGTCTTCGACGCTTTCTTCATCGCTTGAGCTGGTGGCAATGGAGTCAAAGTCAAAATATGCAACGTACACGACAATGTCGTCACATATGGTGATGGTACCGGTAACACTCCGCAACACTTGCAACCCACTGACATGTGCGGAAGGTGCTGTTTGGTAGCAGACGACGACACTGCTCCTTCAGCTTGTGACGTCACGCACGCCATGACAAAATGGGGGTCGCTGGCGGGGGGCGGAGTTTACTACCGATGACATAATCTCTTACAGTCCAGTTTTCGCAGGTGTACAGGCATATTTGACCATCTACCTTCGTTTTTCGCTGAAAGTCGTCAATTGTTGGATGACCATGTCATGTCCCCTTTAAAAATATTGGCAGAGTAAGTTGGGTCGCGACAGAAATGCTCATTTTTTTGTATGTAATATGAATTGCTCGAACTATTATTCAAATTATTAAATCAAGTCACTAGTTGCATTGAACTTCATGTTTACTATTATCTAGAGCTATGCAAATAGCAAAATTTTGGGTACAAAGTCAATTCGAGTATTAAAGTTTTAGTGTGAATCAAATCGAATATTTATCAAGTAGTTGTCGAATATATGTTTAATATTTTTCGGGTGCAGTATAACCTCATTACAACGGATCTGCTTACAACAGACATTTGGATACTACATACTAATTGACGACATTATGCCGGCTTCCCTATTCGTTTCATTGATTGAGCTTCGTTCACTATGGATTCTGGTACAACGGACATTCGGATATAACTGACCAAAATGTGAGCCCAGCAATCTCTACTCTCTACGCCCAACCATCACTTGACATACATTTATGGTGCATTCAGAGGACGGATCGAATCCCGATGTGGCGGGACGGACGGCGCGTCACGTGACCTCACATCAGCGATTCCCCTCGTCCGCGCGGCTCGCGGACGGATAAACCCAACCTGTTTCTCACATCGGGATTTTGGCGGGGGAGAGCCGGTACTTCAGCGGAATAGCTTGGGGTCGGTGGCAACCAGTACACTTTTCGTCTGCTCGCCGCATGTCCTCCATGGCTCGCAGACAGCTGC